GGTCCATGGCAGCCACCAAGAACGTGGCTCTTTTTCTCTCAATGAAAACAGAATCCGGGATCAAAACTTCATGTGGTGATGCTGCCTGTACATCCTAGAAGAGCAAAAGGAAGAAGGAGACATGCGCCAGCCGGGACTCGAACCCGGGTCTCAAGGTTGGAAACCCTGCATGATGCCCCTACACCACTGGCACAGCTGTTGAGAGTCTGTCTTGAGAGAACCACCATCCTTCTGGTTAACAGCCAGACGCGCTAACCCATTGCGCCACAGAGACCTGGCACAGGCCTCCCTCTCGCTTCCCCCCACCTGAGCATCCATAGTTTGGCTGGCTAGACAGCAATAAGATACCTTGGTCACCAGATCCAGCGTGTTCCTCTCTCCCACCATCAGATGGGAAAAGAGAAACCCTGGATGTAAATATTGCTTCTCTTGAGACAGACTCTCAACAGCTGTGCCAGTGGTGTAGGGGCATCATGCAGGGTTCCCAACCTTGCGACCCGGGTTCGAGTCCCGGCTGGCGCATGTCTCCTTCCACCTTTTGCTCTTCTAGGATGTACAGGCAGCATCATCAGATGAAGTTTTGATCCCCGGATTCTGTTTTAGTGGGAGAAGAGAAAGGATCTTGATGCCTGGCACTGACGTCACTTTGCATTCTCAGCAGGAAGTAGAATGTAGAAATAATTGCCTGATTTTCCCATTCTTGGCAACAGGGATGGGCTTTGAATCCAGGTATACACAGCACAGGGAATTAGCTGTCCATCAACTTCCCCACTCAGCCATCTTCTCAAGGTAAGGCTCCATCAGATATTCCTGGCTAGACTCAAACCAGTAGCCAGATACCCTTGGCCTTTGGTGTTCCAGAAATGTGAGATTGCTCCACCTGAGCTTACTTGAAGGGCTGACACCAGTGGTGGGATTCAAATAATTTAACAACTGGTTCTCTGCCTCAATGACTGGATGGGTGGGTGTGGCCTGGGTGGGTGTGGCCTGTGACAGGTGGGTGTGGCCCGTATGGGTGTGGCCAAGGGGTATGACAGGCATCACGTGGCCTCCTGCACCCCCCTGGGAGCAAAAGCAGGCTGGGGGACCATGCCCCCATTCCCACGCCCTGTTTTAGGCATAGTAGGCCGTCCTGCAGCCTCCTGGGAGCACAAATGGGCTGCGGGGGGGGGACTCCTGGAAGAGGAGGGGCAGGAAGGGGTGGGGCCAGCCAGCAATTTAACAAATGGTTCACCCGAACTGGCCCAAACCAGCTGAATCCCGCCACTGGCTGACACCCAACTCACCTTTTGGATCATAGACAGTTTTGCACCCTCCAAGTTGGGGTAGAGGACAACTGCAATTGTCATCTACCCCAACTGAAAAGTCCAAGGCAAGCTGGTTGCATGGAGACTCTGACAAGCCTACTCGAACCAGAGGGTGGGATTGGATGAGTGGAAAGAAAAAGGAAGGAAAGGAAAGGCATTTTTTCTGGCAAATTCAGCCTATTTTTCCATCCTTCCTGAAAATTTCACCTACAGGATGCTAGATTGCAAACACAAGCTTTCCCTGGCCGAGAATCGAACCCGGGCCGCAGCAGTGAAAGCGCTGAATCCTGACCACTAGACCACCAGGGAAGGACAAGGTGGCTTTTGTCTCTCCAGCTTCTTCTTGGGTGGGGCATCAGCTCCAGCCCCGGGTTCTGCAAGCAGGAAGGTTGGGAAGAAAGCAGGAGTGTCCCTTCCTTTGAGACTTTCACTTTCTCCCTGCTTGGAAAACCCCCAACTGTTGGGGGCCTGCAGAAAGACCCCCTGCCCCACCCACCCAGGTTTTCAGGCAGAGGCGCCAGGAGGGGTGGAGACGCTTCCCCAAAACCTTCTCTCAGCACCCATCAATGTCAAGGTTGTTAGGCTTGCTACCTTCCAGCTGACTTGCTGCACATGGCATCTCCCTGGTGGCCTAGAGCAGCATTTCCCAACCTTGGCAACTTGAAGATGTCCGGAC